AAGAATATCAGTGTTTACCACGATCAACCAGAGGAAAAGCAGTCTATTGAGTCAGCTTGTTCAAATCACCAAGTACTGAGGGGAGCAGTGACCTACCAAATTGGATAAGTAACATCTGAGATGACATACCACATGCTCTATTTACAGATCTACCCATAGGCACAGTGATGAATACTGAACTCTCTGACATTTATTTGGCTGTTTCAACATTATCTCTTCAACGTTAGTTCCCGAAATCCAATCACCGGGAACCATCTATATATATATATATATATATATCATATATATATATATATATATATATCTATATACATATATATATTATATATATATGACTATATATATATTTTATATTATATGTAATAACATATAGTATACTGTTCATAGCCTGGGGGTATGTAGTGGGGGTGTGTTGTGTGTGTGTAGTGGTGTGTGTGTAAGTCAATTGGCCATTCCCTTACCATTCGCCCTAACATTTTATTTGATTTCAGAGTGCTGGTGGTTCAGAGAAATTTTCAGGCACGCGAACACGAGCGGTGGCCAGGTGACTGTTTTGGGCAGTGTCCTCTGTTTTTCTCATCTTCTCGTTGCTTATCAATACTGTCTAGCTTTCATGTTTGTGACTGAAAATACTGAAATTAGTAAGTGTAATTCTGTGTTAAAATTTTGGCTTGATATTTTTGCGTGTACAACCGTTTTTATTTCATTTCCCCTCCTCCTCATAGCCTGGGAGCTATCCTTTTTATGAGTAGTTGTTTTGGTGGGTTGAGGACGGTTTGCCAGTCACATTGTTCCTGCCGCCGAGGTAGGATTACTAGATATTCTGTTCCCCGCCATCCAAGGAAGGCATCCCATGAACTTGGCACATGCGCTCTGGTTCTGCCCTACTCCTGAAATAAGGCCTGACAGGCGTATATTGGCCACGGGGGTTTTGGTGGACTTAGACCACAACAAGATAGGTACGAGCTTCGCACGTATTGAGATTTTTGATATTGAATGGCTTTGAACGAGCCGTAACAGAATTACATTATATTATCAGAGTGTGGGGCCTGGGTGTGGTTCGGTCGTTTTCAGTTCAAAATACAATTGTTGAGGGCAGAAATCCGTGTATAAATTTTGTCGGACAGGCACGCCAGATGACACGTGCGGCGGTATGACGACAGTGAGGGTGTCCAAGTGAGAATGGTCCAGCAGCCTATGTTTTGGTGTAGCCCCAGCAGTTACACTATCAGGATTCATTCTCATAATGGTTGCGTGGCCCCAGCGCGGTTGACGAACCATTTCCATGAACAATGTTCGCTCTTTACTCCCGCTTGTTTTTAACAAGGGTTTGTAATTTTGGCTGTCTAGAGTTTAATAACATTTTTCACCCAAGGTTTGTGACTTGAGCAGCCCAAATCACCTGAAAAACTCCGAGATACAGCTACAAAACTATGTACGACGAGGACGGTGTGCAGCAGGTTGCGTACGAAAAGGTACTGCACTACTCGTAATACAGTACGTCGTAACTTCCCCTCACGATAATTGTGACGTAATTTGGAATACAACAAACATTCGCACCTTCGTAGCATATCGTGGTTTGTACTGGAATATTAGTAATTCGTATCAAGAGGTTAAAATGGGACAGAAAAGAGTTCCTATCTGAGGAAATTCGTGTGCATAGCGGTTCGCAAGTCAGTGTCCCAATGTAGTTCTTTTTCTGCGTTTGTCCTTAAATGCGAGGTTGGCACTTTGTGGTTTATAGCTAGGCTGCGATATCCTGCACTTTCCGCTCTATACATCCGATTTCATCACCCCCCCCCCCCTCCATTAGCCTTTTGCCACACCCTTTTCAGAGGGCGAAAAGGGGGGAGGGGTCACCGACACGGCGAACTAATGACCCAGATTTTGGGACTGTTGAAGATCTCAGCTACATTGAAATGCCGACACGGACGTAACACAAACTTTGTTGCACAAAAGGAAACCGATGTCCGGCTGTTGTCGTTTCAAGTATCCCCTGATAGTTACTGTTTAAACACTAAGGCAGACAATGGTCACAGGGAAATAACGGATGCCGTCGGCTCTCTGAAAACCAAGGGCGCTGGAACCCGGTAGATTAGGTACCTTGAACATCCACGCATTTTTTTTTAATTTGAGGTGGAGGGTCATGAACTCTTAACCCCCCCCCCCTCCCTTTCCTCCCAAAAACAATAATATACATAGTTCTCTTTTTAAGTATTTGTTTCATAATTTCATATTATTTCAAAGATATTTGTATATTTATTCGTCATTCAGCACATAATAATAATAATAATAATAATAATAATAATGAGGGCTTTTTGTTATGGAATCCACATTGTGTTTTGAAAGGTGATTGTACCCACTGCAAAGTGTCCACTTTACCAGCGCAGAAAAATAAATGCTTATAAAAAATTTGCCGCTACTGTGTACTACCTGAGAACAAAGCCCTGATAATAATTTTACTGCGCGCTTAAACAAGGCTTAAGCCTTTTGAGCGGCCCTTTACTGGAACATTTATAAGGGAGGAGGTAGCCCCCAAAATTGTTCATATGCGACACCCCTGCCAGTAACAGCTTTAGAAACTAGGATATTTGTTTATTGTTCAAATAGCAACTATTGAAACAAAGAACCGAGCACAGAAGCCTGCATTGAATTCCTAACACAGAAGTATCTGATCATGTTTCTTGGCCTCTGATGTTAGAAGACTAAGAAAGGACAGTTAATGGTGGTGACGCCTTTTTTGTGGCTTTGAGAATTCTTCGCCAGTAGTAGTGGCAGCAGCAGCAGCAGCAGCAGCAGTAGTAGTAGTAGTAGTAGTAGTAGTAGTAGTAGTAGTAGTAGCAGCAGCAGCAGCAGCAGCAGCAGCAGCAGCAGCAGCAGCAGCAGCAGCAGCAGCAGCAGTAGTAGTAGTAATAGTAGTAGTAGTAGTAGTAGTAGTAGTAGTAGTAGTAGTAGTAGTAGTAGTAGTAGTAGTAGTAGTAGTAGTAGTAGTAGTAGTAGTAGTACTAGTATTAGTAGTCTCTTCGATATAAACGTATCGTTGGCACAACGTTCAAGCCACCGAAGTAAAATTGTTTCCCACATATAGGTTTTTCGGGGCTGTTACTTGACATTATTTTAAAAGGCACAATTGCTGGAACACATTAACTGGTGGAACAGCCAACTAAATAACTAAACAATAACTTATTAACTAACTAACTTACTAAGTACATAACTAACTAGTTAATTAACTAACTAGTGAATCAGTAATCTAGCTAAAGAACGAACGAACGAACGAGTTTTCATAAACTGGGAACTACATTTTCTAAACAGACTGATATTTTTTATCAGAAAGGAATGTCAAGGAAAGTTATAGTAACTATAATTATTTCTGTAACAGCCAGTGTTTTACGCGCCAGTCCTTCGCAATGAAGATCAGAGCGGTGATGAGTAAACGTTTTCTAAAACTGTGGAAGTTTTGTCTGATGATGATGTTGATGGTCGTGTTTGTCCTGGGCTATGTTGTTCTAGTGGATTTTGTAAAAGAGCACATTTACAGTCTCCGAAAAGTTGGGTTTTCTTGGAATAACGCTACAGCAGCAACATCTGAAGGCAGCCCAAGCGTTATCCAGTCTTATTGTAAATATAGGTAAGCGTATTTGTGTTTATTCCCCCTCTCTTTCTTTGTCTCTATAGCGCATCCCCCCCCCCCCCACCCCTCTAGATTTGCTACAGCTACTACGATTTGCTGTAGTTAGAAATTAACACATTCTAGTGCTTGTGTGAAATATTTTGAGGCAATTGATTATGTTTACTACTACTTGATGTATAAATGAAATGACGTCTGGAGGGAGGGAGACTAGAATGGCAGAATATAAGAAGGCCCTCATGCCCAATTCTTAATTCTTTAAAAAAAAAGTTCGTTCGTTCGTTCGTCCGCCAATCCGCTCTTTTCTACGCGATCCTCTCGATATAATTTAAGGAAACCAGTCCTAAACACTTTTCGTCTCAGGTTTTTATATTAGACCTCCTGGTTTCCTCAAACCAACTGTTTCCCATTTCAGTGCCTGTTTGGTTATTCTCTCTTTTTTTCTTCTCATAATGTGTCCAGTATATTGACACCTTCTTTTTTTAAAAGAAGTAAACGATTGCCAAGACTCCGGTTGAAAAACATTGCTTTAAATCAGTGTTCTTCAAACGGAAAAGTCCAAACGGGCAGCTAAAAATTCCTGTTCCATCTTGAAACGAAGTAGGATATATGTTTGCCTTTCCAGGATTGCAAATGTGGATAATGATTTCCCTTTAAATGAAGATCCTCGTAAAGACAACCTTTGGGTTAATAATCTCTTCTTGAAAGATATTTAAAAAAAAAAAGTGCACCTGTTCACCATGAAAAATAAATTTCTAATCTAGTTGTCTTCGGAGTGTCACTCTGCGTTCATAAATAAAATGCAATAATTATACGAGTCTTGGATATTACATGAAAAAAAAAATTCTTCTCGAAATTAGGGAGCTGTTATATTGTTGACAGTGCTCCCCCCCCCCCCCCCCCCCCCACCCGCCCCCCCCCCCCCACCCGCAGCCGCCGACTTTCCCCAGCCAGGTCAGTAATAAAAACTAACCATGGAAACACAGAGGTCGTTTATCAGAGAGAAAAACCCACACTCCAGCCACGTATATGAGATGTTCTAACCCCCAAGCAACACTAGATGTCGCAAGTAATTTCGAAGCATTGGATTAACGAATAAACCTGTATTTACATTGTAGTGTGTGTGTGTTTGGTTAGGTGGGCCGCGAAACAGTTTTCTCCGCCACGAGTGTAAAAAAAAGGTATAGGGAACACATGTGTAAACTATATGATCAAGTATAAATATATTTGAAACATATTTGATAAAGTATAAAAAAATTTTTTTAAGTTGAAAAAATGTCATTATGACAATCTTGTGTCCAATAAACGATACAGAAAGTTATTTTGTATCTTCTTTATCTTTCGTTCACTTGAAATAGATTTTCTACATCAGCCATGTTGTCTCTACTTGGATTCAAAAATTCAAGTTTCCATAGGATCATCCCAGGATTTATGTGCCAGGGTGGAGACTTTACAAATGGAAATGGTACAGGTGGAAAGAGTATCTATGGCAGCAAATTTGAAGATGACAATTTTATCAGGAAACACACCAAGCCAGGTCTTCTGTCCATGGCGAATGCTGGACCAAACACCAACGGATCAGTTTTTTTTATCACAACAGCTATCACTTCATGGTAAGATGGTAAACATGTTGTGTTTGGAGAAGTCGTCCTCGGGTACGAAGATGTGGTGAAGAAGATGGAGGTGTGGGATCCCAAAGTGGGAAACCATCAAAGCCTGTGACTATTGCCAGCTGTGGTGTACTGTAAGATGGGTCTGCCAAGTGTATTGAGCTGCCAACCATTGATTTTTTTTAGTAGTTAGCACAGTAGAGTGCAGATTACTCAATTTGATTCTGTGAATTTGTGTTCGTTGATTGTCACTATCGTTATATCATTTTTCACACACTTTACACATTTGCGGTGTTATTTATTTATTTTTTTTTTTTTTTTAATGTTGAACTGTACCTTTTTTTTCAGAAATAAAAATTCCTAATTAGATCATGTAAAAAAAAAAAAAAAATGAAAAGTAATAATGTTTTGCAATAATATTTTGTATAAACCTAGAGCTTTGGTTATCTACTGTAAGCAATGAAAGTAATGGAAGTTTATTTCAATTATGTTCGTTGACGAAGAATTTGATCGACAATTTTAGTTGTAATCGTTAGCTACTTTTACGTTTTAGTCAGTTTGTGTTCTGCTAATTTGCCTCTTGATACTGAAGAGTCATCACTATTTTCGATATAGTATTTTTCAGGAATGATCTGGTATACTTTTTTTTAACAATCATTTGCAGAAATGAGAAGAAAACAAAGATGACTGGTCAACAAACAAAAGACAGTTTTCTCCATCGGCCAAGTCCAGCACAGGCCGGGCAAGTGTGCATTCATCCAAACTTGGAGCCGTGTGATCCAAGTATTGCAGTATTAGATGAAGGGTAGATAATAAGCAATATAATAAATCGTTTCTTTTTCTTCGTTTTCTTCTCTATTTTCCTCTTCTTTTTCTCCTTATTATTATTATTATCATCATCATCATTATTAATATTATGGGGTCCTAATGGAGCAATGATGCGCAATACAAGACTCTTAATGTCTATTAGCCTCTCTTGCTCAAGCCTACCTCACCTTCACGCGGTGGACCCTGTTCTTCCCAGCAATCCAGTTGAAGGTTGGGGTCTCAACCCCCCGCGGGAAACTGGATGGGACAACAAACGAGATAAAGGCGAAAGACGAATGGATGAGCCTACTCTCCTCGAGAATGATCACAGTCTACCCTAGCAAAACAAGGTGCTGAAGTCGGAGGCAACCAGCCAAGAGGCGCACCATAGCAATCAGGATGCCACGCATACACACCATGGAAATATGTCTATATCAGCAAAACGTGATGGTGCTCTCCCTGTGATGGACTCCCAGGCAGGAGCAGTGCCGGGCCCTCTGCCTCGAAGAGGCCCAACCCAAATTACTGGTCCTTCTCAAATGTCCTGTGGAGCCAGAGGACGTGAGAATAGAGCATCTGGCCGAACTAAGAAAGGAGTCAAATTGATGCACTGGGATGCAGAGGGGATTACAAATAAAAAGCTAGAGTTAGAAAATATTCTAAATGAGGAACAGATTCATATATGCTGTCTACAAGAAACCTACCTCACCGAAGACACAGTCTTCAAAATTAGAGGTTATCAGTGCTTTCAATCAGACCGGAAAGGCAGGAAAATGGATGGAATACTGACTCTTGTGAGGAACAATATCACTGCGTGCCAGACTGAAGTATATATGGATGGAGCAGAATATCAGATTCTGAAACTACAAACTGGGAATGCAGACATCTACCTGATCAATTATTACTGCCCAAGTGATCGTCCCCAAGCTTTAGACACAATCCCAGTGGAAGAAAATATGATTCTATGTGGAGACTTTAACAGCCACTCACAAAGCTGGGGATATGACCATATAGACCAGAGAGGAGAGAAACTGGAGGAGTGGCAGGATGAGAACAGACTTGTTCTGATTAATAGGCCAACTGATCCACCCACATTCTACTCGAGGTCGTGGCACACCACTACTACCCCAGACCTAGCATTTCACTCTCCAGATCTGGAATGGAACATTAAACGAGTTGTTGGAAATCAACTGGGAGGCAGTGACTGTCAACCGGTCTTCCTGAATGTAGAAAATGAGAAGGTCAGAGAAACTAGTAGGCTGCCAAGGTGGAACTACAAGAAGGCTGACTGGACAATGTTTAAGTACCGTACCAGTATACTGCTTGGAAGTCTCAGCGTAGACCAGGATATAAACAAAGTAGTTAAAGAATTTAACAAATGCGTACTAAAGGCAGCAGGAGAATCAATACCAAGCGGTGCCCGTTAACATTATAAGCCATACTGGAGTAATGAGCTAAAAAATTTACATAACGAAGTAGAAACATCCAGAAAGATAGCAGAGACCAGGCCAAACCAAGAACATCACAATAACTACCAGCATGCAAAAGCAAATTTGTAAGGGCAAAGCTGCAGGTTAAAAGGGAAAGCTGGCAGGAGAAAACGAGGTCGCTGAACTTTGAAAAAGACACAAGAAAGTTATGGAAGCTTGTGAAACAAATTAATGATGAGGACAGAGGGTGGAACTCAAAAATCACGCTGCAGAAAGATGAAAACATGGTCACAGGAAAAGAGGCAGCCAACCTATTTGCGGACACTTTTGCTTTAGATAACGACATTGAAATCAGTTCAGAGAAAAAACACGAAATTCAAGAAAAGACACAATTTAGAAGTCAGAAAAAAATAACATCAGAGGCGCTAGAGGTGCCAATTACACTTAATGAACTGGAGTTGGCCATTTCAAAGCTGAAAATGCGGAAGTCACCAGGAGCAGATGGTATATCAAATGAAATGATCAGAAACTTTGGAACAGTAGCCAAAACAAAGCTTTCACAGATATTTAATGCTTGCTGGGCAACAGGAAATGTTCCACAGGTCTGGAGAGAGGCAATTACTGGGAAAGACTGGGAAAGAGAGTTCTAATGCCTCCAACTACAGATTGATCAGCCCCATAAGCTGTCTCTGTAAAACAATGGAGCGCATTACCAACCTCAGACTACAGTGGTACATTGAAAGTGAAAACATCATTACACCACAGCAGTCGGGCTTTAGAAAGTTCTACTTTACGGAAGACAAGACAACATACCTCTCCCAAGAAATAGAGGATGCTTTTCAAGATAAGAGACTGGTACTCGCGGCATGGATAGATTTAAGGAAAGCTTTTGATAAGGTTTGGAATGAGAGGCTTTTGAAGAAATTGAGAAACTATAAAATAAATGGAAAAATGTACAATTGGATTAAAGCATATCTACATAACAGAAGAGCCCGGGTACAGGTAGATGATTTTAAAAGTAAAAAAGTTCTACTGCGAAAAGGCGTCCCTCAAGGTGGTGTCATGTCGCCCACACTTTTCATCTTATTCATCAACGACCTGGTTGCTGAAATACCAAATGAAATCAAAATGGAAATGTATGCCGACGACCTGGTACTGTGGTGCACCAATGAACATGCAACAATAGCCACAAAAACACTACAGCGGGCTACAAATGCACTTAAGGCATGGGCCAATAGATGGTGTGTCAGCATCAACACAGACAAATGTAGCACCACACTCTTCACCCTCTACCAAAAGCAAAAAGTAGACACCATCAAAATAAATCGGAATACCCCTAAGAGATGATAGAGCCCACATACCTAGGAGTCACATTTGATGACAGGTTGACATGGAGAAAACGTATCAACAAGGCAGCAACCAAAGCCAGGAGGAAGACAGCAATACTAAGAAAACTAAGTGGAACCATGGGGAAGCCGATGGGAAAATACTCAATAAAGTATACAAGCAGAGCATACTTCCACACTTAGAATATGGGTCAACTGCATGGTGTTCAGCATCTAGTACCACATTAAAGGAGTTGGACAAAGTGCAAAATCAAGCGCTCAGAGTCATCACAGGAGGGATGAAATCAACCCCCATATTAGAAATGGAGAAAGCTGGGAAAACACAGGCACTGAGAGAACGCAGAGATACAAAGTTGCAAATACAAACTGAAAAGTTCCTCAGTATGCTAGATCACCCGAAGGAAAATAGATTTAGGAACCTAGCCTTGGGACGGTTAAAAAGAAGCAGCTTTATACACCAAGCAAAAAGAATATGTAGACAAACTCCTGACCTTCCAGAAATTGGTTGCCCACTTAAAAGTATTCCGGAACAAACCCCATGGAGAGAAAAGTGAAAACTAACAGTGCAAATCCAGACAAATGTGAAAGGGATATTTTACAAGAAAGAGCAAGATAGTGTACAACGCAGAATGGCCACCCTGGGTTATATTGATGAAGAATATCCACAAGAACAATGGGTCAGAGTCTATACAGATGGGCCCGCAGAAAGTGCAGTTAAAAATTGTAGTGCTGGAGTGTACATCGAATTCCCAGATGGTACTAGTCCAGCGTACCAACCGGGAAGTTCTGCCATAACTATGAAGCAGAAACTCAAGCTATCAAGATAGCAACAGAGAAACCGCTAAATACCAATCTTGGCTCACAGTATGTGGTAATGCTGACAGATGCTGAATCAGTACTTGAAGCACTTCAGTCTAGAAAACTACCATAATTGCAAATACTGCTGACACAACTCAGCCTTCAGCGAAGAGTCGTAATGCAGTGGATGCCGTCTCATTGTGGAGTGCCTGGAAATAAGAAAGCAGATCAAGTGGCAGGGAAAGGTGCAACAAAAGAGCAGCCGGATGTACCAGTCACATACCACCAAAAGAAAAGAATCATTAAATCGATCAGGAAACCACCAGCCCCAGCACAAGACGACTATTTTATTATGGACAGACCAGAACAAGTCATTATCCTCCGCCTCAGAACAGGACACAACCGATTACGATTACGTAACCACATGTACACAAAGTTCAAGATAGGTGTATCAGCCATGTGCACCAGTCGAAATATGCCCCAGACTGCAGAGCATGTACTCCAGGACTGCACCGAATTTGACACATTAAGGCAAACCTTTTGGCCAGAAAGAACAACAGTGGAACGTAAACTCTATGGACCACTGAATGAACTAACAACGACAGCGAAATTTATACAAGAGACAAAACTGTTGATATAGACAACTTATTTTAGGCGAACGAAAGAAGAAGAAGAAGAATTAATATTATTATTATTTTTATTTTTCCCTCCTCCTCCTCCCTTTGACCTCAACAGGGCGGTTGGCACGTTGGGTTGT